GGGCCCAAAAAGATCCATGTGAAGGAGCTCCAAGGGCCTCTTTAAATAAATGATAGTCGTGGGAGGGTGAGCCTTCTCATGTAGCTTTCCTTCGATACAGGCACTGCAAGCACGGTCTTTAACAAAACTAACATTCGTTAGTCCACGGACATGGTCCCCCTTTAGGAGACTTTGCAAAGATCTCATATTGACATGGGCTAAACGGCGATGCCAAAGCCATCCCACATCAACTTTAGCCATTAGGCATGTCGCGGTCTTAGTGGGTCGCTCCGAAAAGTTAATCACATATAGCCCGTTCTCGACATGCCCAACAAAAGCTACTTTAAGAGTCTTGCTCCACAAGAGGGCCACGGTATCAATGTCAAAGAAAGTGGCAAAGCCCATGATTGCAAGTTGACGAACGGAAAGTAAATTGTATGCAAGGGACTCAACAAGCATGACCTTCTCGATCGTGAGATCATGAGAGATTACCACCTTGCCAAGTCCCAATACCTTAGAGGATGAGGCGTCACCCCACTCGACATTGGTGGGCATAGATGGAACTTTGTGCACGTCCACTACCAAGTCCTTGCTTCCAGTCATATGATTTGTAGCTCCGCTATCGAGCAACCATGATCCACCACCGGAAGCAAACACCTACAAGAGATCAATGCTTGGTTTTAGGTATCCATTTTGTAATGGGTCCTTTGATGTTAGTAACAAGGGTCTTAGGAACCCAAATAGACCATTCAATGTGCTCATGAAGAGAACCAACAAATTTGGCATAAACATGCCCATCACTAGCTCGGCATAACACATAAGAAGGATTAAAATCGCCGGCTTTGTTGGAAGAGGTGACATTGCCCTTCTTGACTTTGTTCTTCTTCTTCTCCTCGGGGACACTCTCTCCTGCCCTCACAAAGGTTTGCATGAGGGGAGGAGGTCGTTTGGTCTTGTCATTCTTCTTCTTGTTCTCGGAGTCGGGGACGTACCCAACCCCTTCCTTCGCCACACCTCCCTTTTGGTTGATCAAGATATCATTGAGGTTCTTCTTGCCTTGTATGCACGTCGCAAGACCTCTCTCAAGTTGCGCCTTCAACTTAGCATTTTCTTCAACAAGATGCATATGCTCACAACACGGGTTAGTAGCATTTGCATTATCAATCAAAACCATATGAGGAAAAGTTGCTTTCTCCATAGTTAGCTTCACTTAGAGTTGATCATGAGACTCCTTGAGACTAGCGTGAATACCCTTCAAGGCCTTGTGGGCCTTGTCAAGTATATCAAACTCCTCTTTGAGTCTAGCAAGATCAACCCCAAGTTTGGCCTTCTCGGAATTTAGCACACGAGAAACAACGGGGGCATGATCATAATCTTTCTCTAACTTAGCATGATCAACGTTGTGTGACTCCTCAAGAGCCAAACGAAGACCACACTCTTCCTCAAGAGCATTGGAAAGATCCGAAATCTCATCGGCATAGTCACGACTATGCCCTTCCATCTTCAAGATGGTGTCTTCGTGAGCCTCGATCATGTCATTGGCCTCACCAAGTTGTTCCAAGAGAGCAACAAAGTGCTTCTTGGATTTTCCCTTGAGTTTGCCCATAAAGGCCTCAAACTCGTTAGCCTCCACATTAGCTCCCTCAACTTCATTAATGCAATCCGATGGGGAAGGATGATTAATGATGGTAGTTTTGATGTTGGAGGTTACCTTGTTGGTGGCTTTAGCCATGAGGCACTTGGCGTTGATGCTCTCGTTGGGTGAGTCGAAGAGAGACACTCGTGACGTTGTTGCAATGGCAATGGAGGCCATGGCAACCGACTCATCATCTTCATCATCGTCATCATCCTCATTGTACTCTTCTTGCACAACCAAGGCCTTGGGAGGAGTCTTCTTGGTGAAGTTGTTCTTGTTGGGGAATGACTTGGCCTTATCCTTTCGAATGAGTTTGCCACCATTGTCTTCCCTCTTCTCATACGGGCATTCCGCAATGAAATGACTCACGTTGCCGCAATTGTAGAAAGTCCTTACACGTTGCTTGCCCCTTGTGCCACTCGAGTTGTTTTTGCTAAAGTTGGGCCTCGAGTTTTTCTTGCTCCAAAATTGCCTTGAGGCAAGTGCCATGTGTTCATGATATGCATACTTTGTATCTTCGGGGTTGCTCTCCTCTTCTTCCTCTTCTTCTTCTTCCACGGTGAGCTTGGCCTTCAATGCAAGGTTAGGCTTCTTTGCCCGTTGAGAACGGAGCACCGCATTGTCGGCGGTCTTGTCCAAAATGTTCATGGCCACAAACTCATCCAACACCTCGCTTGAGGTCAAAGTGTGGAAGTCCAGTCTTTGGCGGATGACGGAGGACATGGCCTTGTGGTAGGGCATCATTGCCTTGAGGAATTTGCGCTTGATCCAATTGTCATCCGTGTCCTTGCTCCCGTGATCTCGTAGTGAGACCGCGAGTTTGGTGACTCTCCGATAAAGCTCACGAGGTTCTTCATCTTCCTTCATTGCAAACTCATCAGCCTCATCTTGTACCACTTCATAGTTGGAGCGTTGAATGCTTGCGCTTCCCCGGTAGAGAGACACCACACAATGCCATGCATCTTTGGCCAAGGAGAAGGGACGAAGATGAGGTAGGTCTTAGGGTGGAATTGCATCTTGAATGATGAAGAGAGCATTCTCATTGAATTGATTGTCCGCGGCTTCTCGAGGAGTGAAGTTGCTTGGATCATGTGGGTAGAAGCCTTCTTCAATGATTCTCCAAAGGTTAGTGTTCACATGATTTAAATGACGTTTAAAGCGGTAAACCCAAGAATCAAAATCCTCATTTTTCACAATCTTAGGAGGAGGACCGGCATGATTCAAATGAGTAGAAGGAACCGGTCCATCATAAACAAGTGGTGGTTCCACATGGGCAAAGATGCCGGTGCCATTCTTGCCACTAGAAGAAGGAGCCTTTTCACTACTAACTTCCCCCTTGTCGGGGATAGCATCCGACACCTTGTTGGCGGGATCCCCCGCTTTCAATGGTGCGGTGGAGAGTTTAAGCCCCTCAAGAAATTTAGTGAACATGCTTTCAACTTCGGTCGTCATGGAGGTTTTCAATGTCTCCAAAGCTACATTGAACTCCTCACGAGAGACCAAAGTTCCCCCATCGCCCGTAGACGAGATAGGATTCACACCGGAGTGTTCCTCCGCTCTGTCTACGGTATCAACCATACTCTTCGGACGGTAAAGTCCTTAATAAAGAGACGAGGCTCTGATACCAATTGAAAGGATCTATATGGTTGACTAGAGGGGGGGGGGGTGAATAGGCAACTAACAATTTTTAGCGTTTCTTTAGCAATTTAAACTTTGCATCAAAATAGGTTGTCTAGATATGCAACTAGATGAGCAACCTATATGATGCAACACTAATAGGAACACAAGCAAGCAAGATATAAGAAACAAATAAGCTACACAAGTAAAGGCACGAGATAACCAAACGTGGAGATGGTGGAGACGAGGATGTGTTGCCGAAGTTCCTTCCCTTTGAGAGGAAGTACGTCTCCGTTGAAGCGGTGTGGAGGCACAATGCACCCCAAGAAGCCACTAAGGGCACCGTAATCTCCTCACGCCCTCCCACAATGCGAGATGTCGTGATTCCACTATTGACGCCCTTGGAGGCGGCGACCGAACCTTTACAAACGAGGTTGGGGCAATCTCCACAACTTAATTGGAGGCTCCCAACGACACCATGAAGTTTCACCACAATGGACTATGGCTTCGCGGTGACCTCAACCGTCTAGGATGCTCAAACACCCAAGAGTAACAAGATCCGCAAGGGATTAGTAGGGGGAATCAAATATCTCTCGGTGGAAGTGTAGATCGGGGCCTTCTCAACCACTCCTAAGCAAACCAACAAGTTTGGTTGGCTAGGGAGTGAGATCGGACAAAAATGGAGCTTGGAGCAATAATGGAGCATTAATGGTGGAAGAGGTAAGTCATCGGGGAAGAAGGAGACCCTTTATATAGTGTGGAGAAAAGATCCAACCGTTACCCACCTACCAGCCCGCGGCCAGCGGTACTACCGCGCATGACCAGCGGTACTACCGCAAGGCCGCGCGGTAGTACTGCTTGCAACCAAGCGGTACTACCGCGCCCACAGCGCGGTACTACCGTGAGGCAAAAGTCCGATAGGAGGAATGGGAACTTCCGTGCATACTTCCGCAAAAGAACGGAAGTAGCAAAAACTCGACACAGTAGTACTGCCGAGGGGCGGTACTACTGCCTGGCCGCCTAGCGCGGTACTACCGCACGGCGAAAGCGGTAGTACCGCGGAGGTGCGGATGTAATTTTTTACATCCGCTCCTACTACCGCACCTGGGCGGCACTAGCGGGTGGGCAGCGGTAGTACAGCTCCAGGGGAGCGGTACTACCGTGAGCACCAGCGGTACTACCGCGCGCCTGCGCGGTACTACCGCAACCACATAAGCAGCCAGTCATCTGAGGCAGAAAAACGGACGAAGCTCCAAGGAAGAAAGGAGGGGATACAAGAAGACGTGTACGTGATGATTCCACCCAAACCTTTCCAACACGGACCCCCTCTTAATAGTACGGCTTTCCTACGACTCAAATCCATCAAAAGGAAACGTAGAAAAGACGCCGTCTTCGTCAGTCTTCGAGGGACACCCAATCGTCTTGTGCCTAGCAGAGAAGAGTCTGGAAAGCTCATGGCACACGATTAGTCCGCAAATGCGTTGTCATCAATCACCAAAACACTTAGAGATAAATATGACATCAGTTTCCATCTTTTCCCCGTCTCTCAAAATCGGCCACTCAACTGTAAATGTAGATTTTGGTTCGGTTTGAAAGTTTGATTTGAATATAGCCGGCCACGTCAGCAGCGGGGTCCTTCCTAGGTGGCGGTGTGAAAAGTCAGCTGACACAGGCCGGGCACAGTGGCCCACCGTCAGAAGGGGAACGAAGGGCTCCGTTCCGGCGACGCGACGGCCGCGACCGCGTCACCGGGAGTGGAGGAGGAGGGATGATGCAGCAGCTGCAGCCGACGCGGATGCACTGGGCGAGGGCCGTCCCCTCCGACTTCGGCGGCCAAGCCCCCGCCCCTCGCAGGTAACCGATCCCCTCCCCGCCGTCCATCGCCGCCGATCTCTCCCTCCCCCGATCCTTCCCGGCCTGAAAACTGAGCCGGCGCGTATCCCCGCAGCGGGCACACGGCGGTCGCCATCGGCGGATCCAAGGTCGTCGTCTTCGGCGGGTTCGCGGACAAGCGCTTCCTCGCCGACATCGCCGTCTACGACGTCGGTAAATCCCGCCCCCACCACTCGCTTCGCCTGCGCCGCCCGCGGCAGCTCAGCTCCACCCGAATGGGAGTCGGCTCTCCGCTCTGCCACTGTCTAATTAAACTCGCGTGGCCGATCCCCTTGTCGCAGAGAACAGGCTATGGTACACGCCGGAGTGCAGCGGCAGCGGCCCGGACGGGCAGCCAGGCCCCAGCCCGAGGGCCTTCCACGTCGCCGTGGTCATCGACTGTAACATGTTTATCTTCGGCGGCCGCTCTGGGGGCAAGAGGTTCGCCATTGCGCACAGCGCTCTGTCTATTAGAGTTTGCAGCATGTCATTGTCCCTTGTTTACAGTTTCGGTGTCTGCCTCGCAGGTTAGGTGACTTCTGGATGCTCGACACCGGTAAAGCCCTCCGTTCCATCGACCCTTTCTAGAATCCCCTGTTATGCTCGTTTTGTTTCGAATTGTACCAGGGATTCAGCGATCGCTAAGCCCTCTTAATATGCCTCGGTACTTCTTTTATGTTCAGACATTTGGCAGTGGTCGGAGATGACTGGCTTTGGCGATTTGCCGTCTCCCCGGGAGTTTGCTGCCGCATCAGCCATAGGAAACAGAAAAATTGTCATGTAAGCGATTTGTTCCCTACAAGTTCCGCCTGACAATATGTGTCTCATCACCTGTGATTAAGATGATGTTCATCCTTGTTCAGGTATGGTGGTTGGGATGGCAAAAAGTGGCTGTCTGATGTATATGTCATGGACACAAGTGAGCTCACAGCTCCCTTTATTCAAGCTGTGATGATCATTGAATGTATTTTGTTGAATAAGTTGATCATTCATTATTTTACTTTTGTTATAATCTTTTATGTATTTTCTGTTGGATAGTGTCACTTGAGTGGACAGAACTAGCAGTTACTGGATCAGCGCCACCTCCAAGATGCGGACATTCTGCCACTATGATTGAGAAGAGACTGCTTATATTTGGAGGCAGAGGTAATTGCCATTCCTTAATTTCGTTCATCTTGGGCTCTCTCAAAGCTCATGTTAGCTTAGATGACTAGCAAAGTCTCATTTCATATGTTGCAACAAGCTAGTAGTACTTCTCAAGTTCTCATGCCTTCCTGGTCCAACCTTGAAAAGCTGGCTGACACTAGAAAGTATAATTCTGATTTATTTATAAATAGCCACCAAACATAAAAGATGATTGAAACTAAAGTGCTTTGTTGCACTTGAATACCTTCAACATTGAATGTTTCAAGAGCAGTGCCAGTATCAACCCCTTTTTCTAACGAAAACTGGGAGGCCCCGACAAACATAACAAATAGGAAGCCAAATTGGAGTTCATGGGGACTCAAATCAGGTGGTGGGATTGTACATCCACTCCCACCCAAGTGAGCTAGGTTCTTTTCCTCAGCACCAACCCTTTATTGTCATTTAGTTAGTCTATGTGTATTACGGATTATTTATATTTTCCCTGAATAATTGTTAATTTCTGAAGAGCTATTATATAACTGTTCCGCACAATCCGATTTGCTTGTAGGCTTCCTGTTGGGTATCAGACTATTCCTGAGTATAATTTTTAGTGCACTGACGATTTAGATGATTAGTGAGTTGCATAATTTTTTGGTCTAAAAAATCCTACCCCTGACTACTGTATATCTTCCTTCGAACAGGTGGAACTGGGCCGATAATGGGTGATCTCTGGGCTTTAAAGGGTATTACTGAAGAAGGTATCTCTTGCTATTTGTTGTTTAAAGGCTTTAAAGATCTTAATTGATGAGTACATGAACAAAACTCGTAATGCACTTAGAACTTCTTGTCTAGACAGTTTATGTAACGGAACTATTGCATGTATGACATTTCCTGGTCCGATCCGGGTAGGATGCAAGATCCAGTGGTGTGCTGCACTTTGGTTCCACCACATGGTTGGTTTGATCTGGTGGGTCGGACAAGGATCGGACGGAACATGTCATATCTAGAGCAGGACTCTTTTTGCAAATATGTGTCATGATCGGTGGAGCTTACATACCTGTGTTTATAATATTCACATATTATTCCCTCCGTAAAAAAATGTAAGAGCGTTTAGATCACTAGTATATTTCTTTACAGAGGGAGTACATATTAAGGACACTATCCAGTGTATTGTATTCACATCTTCTTTGTCGTGTATGTCCACTCCTGCTTTTTTGAAGGAAATGGAGTTTGAGATGGCCCACCGGTATTATTTTGCTATCCTATTCCACTGAGGGATGTGGGGGATCACCCTTTTTTGTTGATATACTTCGCATGCTTATTTATACATAGTTTGTTCTCATTTAGTCCTTTTGCAGTGGTTACCGCACAGTTGTTTGAGTTTTAGTATGAAGTTGTGTTTCTTAGTTGATTTAAGTAATGGTTCACTGCAAATCGAAGCTAGACAATTACTGCAATATTTGTAAATTTGCTATTACTGAACCTGGTATTGTTGATTTTGGGAGATAATGAGACACCAGGATGGACGCAATTAAAGCTGCCAGGACAATCTCCCTCTGCACGATGTGGTCATTCAGTGACTTCTGGTGGACCTTATGTATGCAATCTGAAACCTTGATGTTTTTCTCTCCAACTGCCTAAGTATTAACAGCTGATATCTCTGTTGTGTGTATCACATATTTGGAAGGTTGATTTCACTTGATTATTCTGTTAGAATCAATATTAATCGTGGTACCTATTAATCATCGGGTTGTTTGCTATCATGTCAAGCTTCTATTTAGCGAAGCTTAATGTCCGATGAACGTGCATATAATGGCCCTCGGGTTTACTTTTGTCGGATAAACAATTAAATAAACTTTGTTTTATCTTCTGTGGAAAATTATTTGTTAATATTTAGTATCCACTTAGATATGAGTTTGTGGAATGCATTAGCTTTGATTTAAACTTCGCTCTGATCTGGTGAAACAAGGCTTAGCTACCAAAACCTTGCTCCCTTGTTTTTAGTTACATAATAGGAAGTTTATTTAGTGATCCAGAAATAATAATAAAATCATTCTTCTCTTGGAACCTGAAACAAAAAGTTTGTTACATTTTACAGCTAGAATTAATGTATCAGAAAAGAATTTCCTCTTGGGGGCTTATCTTTGGTTTTCTCGTCCAGTTTCGGTTATGCAATAACATTACTAACAACATATAGATCTTGGATCTTGCTGTCAGCTCTTGCTATTTGGTGGACATGGAACTGGGGGTTGGCTAAGTAGATATGATGTGTACTACAACGAATGTGTTATTTTAGACAGGGGTAAGCTCAAACGATATTTTTTTCCCTGCACATCCACTTTGGGGACATTGAGCATGAGTTTGCATCTTGTTATCAACTGAACACACCAAATCTTGTTATCGTATTATTGACACAGATGGTTTTCTGAAACAAAATACCGCGTCCTGGTAATTAAATTTAAAATGTGATTCCATAATTAACCAGCTTAGCCCCAAATTATCTAGCTTGTTTAGTACTATGAATTTGCTGAAACACTACAGATAGCTAGGATAAATGCCATGTGTCCACTCATTCTGCACACGTGCATCATATGTCTATGCTGTCCTGGGTGGCACATGCAGCATGTGTCCACTCCAGATCTGCATGTATTTGTGCAGACAGGTGTAGGTAATGATATATGTAAAATCTATAACATCCAAAATGTCATCTCGGACGGATTGGCCTGTTTCTTACGACTAGAACTTTGTACGTGTTAACAAATATCTTGGCCATTTTGTTACTGTTCTTGCTTTGATTTGTCTTCCTTTAATTACTGTTCTTTTGTTGGAGCAATCAGCATCGCGTATGAATTTTCGGCATTGTATCTATTTTTGCTGACTAATACTTTGGTATCCCAGTCTCTGTTCAATGGAAGCGCTTGCCAACAAGTAATGAGCCACCCCCTCCTCGGGCATATCATTCTATGACTTGCATAGGGCCTCGGTTTCTTTTATTTGGTGGCTTTGATGGAAAGAATACCTTTGGCGATTTGTGGTGGCTTGTTCCTGAAGGTATATTAGTATCACATCAAAGGATTTTTTTTTCTTGGAGATTTGTGGTGGCTTTGTTGGAGATTTGAAGTTTTAATTTGTATTGTGCAAACAGCAAACCGTAAAAGCTTTTAGAAGCAATATTATGTGTTATCATATGTTGGCCTGTGGTTTGAACTATAATCTAGTTATTACACTCGCCATATTTTCTACTCCATCAGTATCATATAGGTGTTGTTTTAGCTGTATGCACAGATAACTAAGAATAAATCAATTTATTGTCTTTAAGCAGATTGCAGAAGTTTATCAGTTAGCATATTGGTAGAGTACTTCAAGAAGTGACATATGTTTCCCCTACTAACGGCGTACATATCCATCTCTGTAGCATCGTATAAATAAGTAATCAATAGGGGCATTTGGTGGATAATGTTACCTACAAAGAACCGTAATGTTTATACTTGCTAAGATAATGCCCTGACTATGTACTAGTTACCGATTAACACAGCAATATGTTTAAATTAAGCTGGCTATGGCACAATGTGTTAAATCTACACGACCAGTGAATTGTATTAACCCTTAGGGATGGAAGATGCACATAACTTGGGTTGGTACTTGTATAAGCAGCCAATGTGCTGCACACTTCACACAGGCAAACCAAATTGTTTTAGTTAATGGAAGAGATTTCTCCCTCGGCATCTGCATCCGATGATGCACACGATGAACCAATGAAGATATTGGTCCTCGAAACTTCAAGAAATGATACATTTAAACATGGAGCGAACTGGAATAAGATGCTTGGAGGGTTTTGTGGGGATATGGTCGTGTCCCGCCAATCATGGTTAGATACTTGAGTTCTTACATGTGTCAGCACTAATTTATAAGAAAACAATTAAATATGTAGAGCTGTTAGTGTTGAGTCATATTCTGCCAGTCAATACCCAATTGACCCTTAGCGTCCACACATTCTCCAGTAATGACTGGTGAATGGTGAGAAGAATTTTGTCGGTTTACAAAACTGCCAAGGAAAAGGAATTCATCTGACTCAGTTCAGTTACTGATATTATTTGCTACTTATAACTAGAGGTGTTGGAAATTGCTAGAGCTTATGGTTATTGTTCATGTTTGCATCTGTTTCCTTTTCTGATTGTAGCCAGACACTAGCTAGATATTCTCCTTTGCTGTAAACTCTTCTGATCTACACTTTGTAATGTTTAATGGAGAAAGATAATCTCTGCTTCTATAAACTCTGCCCGATTGACGTTCAGATGATCCTATTGCCAAGCGGGACTTGGTTCCTGATGTTGGTTCAGACAGCAACCATAGCACTGTGACTGGTGATGCCCAACAGTCTGCAGTGAAGGTATGTTTTCATACACCTGAAGTTCAGAAGATCTTTGTGGGGAGTAAAATGAGAACCAATGTCGATTTTTTTTTATGACATTAGAATTTAGAACCTTGCAATCACTAAAGAATATGATTGTTGCAGGAATCAGAATCACAATCTGATGAATCTCCAATGTTGGAGTTGGCCAAACGATTGGGGATTCCACTTTCTATAGAACCTTCAGCAAGTTTTGTTGACGAAATCAATGATAGAGAACTAGTGGAATTATCATCTAGGCTCATTGGTGAATCACTTCCTACCACCGACCAGCTTGCATGTATTCAGGTGCTGATATCTTTCCTTTTCTGCGATTCTTTGAAATTGTGTTGGCTTCCAAGGAAATGGGACATTATTGTATATGATGTACAGGCACTTCGTGATCATTGGAGAAGTTCTCCATCCAGCTCAATACAGCTCCAGGAGCTAGGCCCTCTGCTGAGGGACTATCAACGTATCATTATCCGTCGCTTTGTGTATGGTTTCATTCCTCTATTCACCCTCTGCATTATTATTTACACATTTTAAGTATTCAGTTTTCCATAAATCAAGAAACAATGCGGTGGAACAATGACACGACTTTGCAGATAGTTCCATCTCTGGCCTATTATTATTCTCTTCTTGTCATGATAATAATTTCAACTGCTAGATATTAATCCATTCATCCATTTTGTTGTCTTTTGCACACACAATGATCTGGAATTGTGCAAAACAAAATGTTGCCAGTTCATCACGTGGATTATGTGTTTTATCATGTAACTAGAGGCATGTTTTCATGTCATTTATACTTAATTCAAAAGGAAAAACGAAAAACAATCGAAAGTGGAATATGCCTTTTTTTCAGTCAGACTAGTGGACTTGCTGGCTAAAAATTGAGTAAGGCTGTATGGGTAACCCAACCGTGGTCAGAGCTTGTTATGTCTGAAGAAACTATAGCACAGGAACTAACAATTATTAAAGTCCTGCCATGAGTATTTCACATTGACTATATCTTCATTTCCATTGCTAAATGGATGCAGGGAAAACCCATCCCCGACATTCCTTGAAAGGGAAGATCACCGACTCTTCCATTTGAAAAATGCCTCGCAGGTATATGAGCTCCACAGGCGACCATCTACTCCTCATTGTCCGATGCACGCTCATTTACCAGTTTCCCCTACTTACCCAGTGCTTTGTATTTCTTATATACTTCAGTTGCGCATGGATGACATCCCCATCTTACTGGGCGAGTATAGAACTCTGCTTTCCACCTGAGAGAGGTCCACACAACTATTTTGCTTGGTAAGTGCATCTGGGCTAAAACCATTGTGCTACGACCATCGGTTCTCTGCTTCTGTGGTTTCCGATGCCCAGGGCAAGAAGGACGACAGCCCAGCCACCTAGGCCCTAGGGCAAGCAAACAGACCATTGGTGAGCAAAATTGATGAGGAAATGTTTGTATTTGCGAAATGCATAGAAAAACAAAATGCCATGATCTATAATGTTTGTATTTTGATGTACAAGCTAGAATCTTCTTTTATTTTCTTGGATGTACAAATGTAATTTTAAAATTTTCGAAAGAAAGAGCTCCATGGAGCTACGGAGCAAATTAATTCTCATCCGCCATCATTTTAACATATGCGATCACATGCTTGTCACGTTGTTGGGCAGAGATACAACATATACTTATTATAGACTTCACATCGACAAAAAGAGAATGGTGTATTTTCTAGATTCGCACTGCCGTTGACTTGCTCCGTTCGGAATTACTTGTCTCGGAAATGGATGTATCTAGAATTAAAATACGTCTAGATTCATCCATTTCTGCGACGAGTAATTCCGAACGGAGGGAGTAGGTTCAAAAACTTGGATTCTTTTGAGGTTGCAAAAATGACCTCTGTTTAAAGTTCATTTGGTGACACTTGGGTCCAAAAGATTCACGATCTACCACAATGTCTGAAACTTAGGTCATATTAGGTTGATGACTAAATTTGCCACAACTAATCCTAGGCAAAATGGGTTTGCGCCCCAAAAGCACGGAGAACAAAGAACAAAACGACCGTCACAAGTGTGACAAAGATTTGACAAAAAATTTAAGTCTTATGATAATCGACAGATTTGGGATTTGAGCATGAACAAGGGCATTCCGATTTATTCTCACCATAATATATGCATCCGTTTTTTAACATTGAAATTAATTGCAAAACACTTGACATGTAACAAAAAAAGAGAAAGCATAAAAGGACGTAAACAATGAGACAAATCAATACTCTAGCGGTGCGTTTGGCAATCTTTAGGACGGTGAATGGGAGTTTATGGTAGGGAATTGTATTGAGATTAGACATGAAATGAGTCGTTTTATTCCCAGTCCCCTATTTTGGTGCATGATAGGATTATGTGTGAGAATTTGCATTCCCTTGTTTGGTTCATGGGAATTGACGAGAGACTAGACCAGGGAAGTGAATAAGTTATGATGAAGGATGAAGATTGACTCACTAAAACAATTTCCTTTCACCCCCTCCGTCTCCAAAAGGAGGGCCTACAAATGTTGTCTCAAGTTAAATGCACAACAATTATAGCATCAAATTAGTATCATCATTAAATACAAAAGAAACTATTCTCATGCTATTTTGCAACGTCGTTATTGATGGTTTTGTTATAAACCCGGTCAAACGTTGCATCATTTGACTTGAGACAAGCCCTTTTTTTTTGAGTCGGTGGAGTACAAAATGGAAATGTTTGGAGTTGACTCTCAACACCTTGACAATAAAAAAAGCAAACAACCTTCCTCTGCCCCGAATCGGTTGTTTTAGCTCTGTCTAGATACATCCGGTAATACATACAACCAAGAAAGCGTGCCAAGCTCTAGTTAGAATGACGAACCAAACAAACGTCTAGTAAATTGTTGCGGGACGACTAAGGATAGATGTGGCAACCTCGGTGTTCTCTCCCCGATTCATAGGATTTTCTGAGACTGCACGGCGTGCATTGAGAAACATAATTTTTTATTTTTGCGCACGGGGAAACACATGACATGGCATGGCATGGCATGACTCTTGAGAAGAGATGATACGAACACGCTTATGAAATGCAATCGTGCGGAGAAAACAAAGCACGTGGAGTGGAACGACTAAAATCCTTGAATCCAACCTACCCCGTTGCTGGGGTTGCCGGAGTGGACCGAACTCCCATCCCATCCCATCCGGGGGCCTCCAGAACCTTCCTGAGGTTGGAGGAGGGAATGGGTGAATGAATGTGGGCCGAAACTGGAGAACCACCCACGGACCCGGACCCAGACCCAGACCCAGACCCAGCACCGCACCCCCGGGTTCGTTCGTTCGCAGCCGCCGCGGGGGGCAAACCCGTCATTTCAGCCGCCGGTTTTTTTCCCCAATGGACCGCTGGCAAGGGCAGGGCACTCGCCACCATTCCGCCTATTAAAAGGTGGCCGCCGCCGCCGCCCACCCCCACCACACACAGAGAGAACACACGCAAGGAGCACGAGGAGGAGGCAAGGGAAGCCGCCGCCGCCGCCCCGTCCCTCCTCGCCGGCCCGCCGCGACAGGTAGCAAGCAGCGGCCCCGATCTGTTCCCTTCCTTGTCTGCTTTTCACTTGTCTTGTTTCGTTCCTTCTGGCGGCGGCGGCGGCGGCGGCGGCCTGCGAACCCTACCCGCCACTTCTCCGGGATGGAACGGCCGGCCCGCCCGGCTCGCCGCCGATCTGCTTTGCTTTGATGCGCGGCCTGGTTATCCCCCGTAATCTCCAACCCCACCCGCGCGCCCGCCTCGTTAGGTCCGCCCCTTCCGTGGCGCATGCTCAGCCGGACCGGACGGACAGGGGATCTCGTCGTTTCCTCCCTCCCTCCCTCCCTCCCTCCGGGAAACAAAGCGGGGGTTGCGGTAAAAATTACAACGTCTGCTCTTGGGGATTCTGGGTTTAGGCATGCATGTATGTACTATGTACTACGACCTCCGTCCGGAATTACTCGTCTCTGGATATGGGTGTATCTATCTAGAACTAAAATACATCTAGATACATCCATTTCTGCTACAAGTAATTCCGAACACGGAGGGACTAGTATGTTGCTAGGTGAACAAGCGCCAACATTTCACTTGACCCTTGTCCCGATTCGACGAATTGTTTGCTCAAGGCTTCTTGATTTTGATGATGATCATCAAGGACCTGGTGAGCATCGCAAGGGACGCTGGTTTTCTCTTTATTTACCTGTATGTGTGTGTCCCGGAGCTTCGAGTGAATGGCAGGGATGCGACGCTTGCCTTTCTCATATCGCTCCGGAGAGTGACTCCGGCCTTATACTGGAGGGGGGCTGTTGGCTTGTCCTCAGTTTTCCCCCTCCCTGGTGAAGATACCGTCGGCTTATATCAGCGTCCCGATGCGTGTTTGGCATTAAAAACCACTGTTTGTCACGCAAATAATATGTCCCGGTGCTAGTGTTGGACAGCATGTTGGATGATGAGGTCAAGCGCAATAGGCGCACAATAAGCATGACTTCTTATGTTTGTTTTTCCTATTATTGTTACAGAGTTTGGCTATTTCTTTTTATTAGAACATGAAATTGGTTGCTCTATTAGGCAACTCATGGTTTGTGTGCTGTGTCCTGGAGCTTCGAGTGAAGGGCAGGAGTGCAATGCCTGCCTTTCTCATACTGCTCCAAGAGTAATTATGGCCTTCTCACGAAGGGAGTGGATGGCCTGTCCCCATTTTGCTTTCTTGGTAAAGATACCGTTGGCTTATATCAGCAGAACATTTTCATACAAAATTAAGAAGCTTGATCTAGGTTCAGACGGGTATCTGCGCAATAGAGCCTTTCTGTTTCCTGTGTCTCTAGTCTGGGTGTTCAAGTAACAAAGGGGCGTTGATGTTGTGTATTGTGTCCTGGAGCTTCGAGTGAAGGGCAGGAGTGCAATGCCTGCCTTTCTCATACTGCCCCAGAGAGTAACCGTGGCCTTCTCATGGAGAGAATGATGGTTTATCCCCATTTTTCTTCCTTGGTAAAGATACCATCGCCGTATATCACGAGCTCTTTGTGTTTGACCTTAAGCTGTTCTTGTGGAAAACAATGGGTGCTTTTGCAGTGCTAGTGGCAGGATAGCATCCGACCCAATGCATAACTTCTTGTGTGCTGAATAATTGGTTGCATTAGATAGTGAGAATTTCAGTTCTATATTTTGTTACCTTTTCTTAAGTTGGGTTCAAATCACTGACTTGCTTCTTTGGGTCAGGTTTCAAGATGTCAACCTGCACGTTTGCGACCTCCTGCGTGCTCTTGGGCAATGCTCGAACAACCGATGCCCCCCAGAAAGCGGTCAAGAGCCGCCTGAGCTTCCTTGGCCGAGGCGCCGTGCAGGTGCCGAGCCTGAGGTCCTCCTCTTTCAAGAAGCTGGACGTCTCCGCGGCGGCCACGTACAAGGTGAAGCTGGTGACCCCGGAGGGGGACGAGCACGAGTTTGAGGCGCCGGACGACACCTACATCCTGGACTCGGCGGAGACGGCGGGGTTGGAGCTGCCCTACTCGTGCCGGGCGGGGGCATGCTCGACCTGCGCGGGCAAGATTGAGGCGGGCGCGGTGGACCAGTCGGACGGGTCGTTCCTGGACGACGTGCAGCAGGAGGAGGGCTACGTGCTGACGTGCGTCGCCTACCCCAAGTCGGACTGCGTCATCCACACCCACAAGGAGGGGGACCTGTATTAGGGGGCGTGCCGTGCTCCGCCCACATCTCTGGTGCCAGTTGGTTGTGTGTTGGGTAGAAGAAGAAGGTGTGTCTGTCTGTAAAACCTTGATGGTTGTTTATCCCCTGCCTGGCTGCTGCCTGTGTGCGTGCGTGCTTTGGTCGTTGGTCGGAGGTGGTTAAGATTGTTGGGTGAAGCCACTACACCCACGGATGGAGAAGGCGAATAAAATGAGGGAACAGCTCGCTGTGACTGTGACGGCATTATAAAGCGGTTTCATGGTTTTTTGCGTGTGTCTTTGTGCCGTTTTTGCTGGTTCGTCGGGTTTCTTCCTATCTTCTGAAACCAATTCCAACTGGTATGGAGCTGCTGCTGCCCAGTAGTGTTAGTTAATTTGAATGCAGCATCTTGAGACACTTGTGATAAGACGATTTGCTGTGTGTGTGTGCGCGCGCGCCAAGAATGGCATCTCAGCATGTCAAAGTGGCTGGGGATGCTGATGATCCCTTCCTGTGGTGCTCTTTTTGTTTTTGTTTCTTGGACAGCGTTTCATTGCTAGTCCAAGTTTCTTATTTTGTTTCTGGCTTTGGTCCTATGTGTCTCCACAACCATTGACGCATTCAGTTTGGTTTGGTGGCCGGCCGAGGAGCGAGAGAGAGCCTCCGCTTGATTCCTTTTCCTTTTTTCTTTGTCCCTTGGCTCTGAGCTGGAGGGCTTGATTCCTTTTCCTTTTCTCTTTGTCCCTTGCCTCTGAGCTAGAGGTTGGCCAGTTCTTCGTTGGAGGTCTATCCTAAACTTCAGAATCTTCCTCTTCTTGGGTGTTCATTCTGGTTTTCCCTAATTAAACCGGTTCAGTCTCTCAGAGGTGCTCATAGGGGTTTCTCGAAGGTGCTCATAAGGGTGAGTGTATGCTTATGTACGTGAGCGACTTCGAATGAATTGAATTGTTGATTGTGCCGTAAAGGCCCTTATGCCCACGCCCTAATCGACCCCCCGAAGGAGTATGCGCTTCTAAAGGATCTCTAATACCGTGCCCAATTCCAAAGTTAGTTTGATACATGTGACCGGCAATGAGAAATGCAATAGCTAAATGATGGCGAGCCATGTCGGTCAGCCACAAACTTTCCCCCAAGAAGAGTTAGAATGGCAGTTCCCGCTCCTTGAGCGGTATCAAATATATATGATTACTTGAATCAGGGTTTTGGGCATAAATATTTCACTAACCCGTCAAAAGGGGTCCCAACCCCTGGGGTAATACATCTAAAAAATTATTCCATCGAACGTACTACCTCCTGGATGCGGGAATAGCAACATGATCTAAATGTCCAGTCGAAGCCAAAGAACTTACCTTGAAAAGTCCCGACAAATGATGATTGAGACGAGGTTTCACGTTTTTGAACCACGAAAGGTTTGGTTTTCATTTGGGTTGTAGATGTAACTAACCCACTATTAAGGCTAATAGAAAAAGAGCTCCTCGGTTAAAATAAAATAAAATAAACCGGCGTTGTTAGGATTTTAGGTTTGATTTTTCTTATAAACTAGATCATCTCTCTTCTTCTTGGTGAACTGCCCCTGCCCACGACGAGGTTCTTGAAAAGAATCATTGGCGGCGACAAACACAGACTCAAAAGCATCAAAGCAGATGGATGGGGAGATTCCACAAAAGCCTCCGGGGGCTCAGTGGCACAGATCTCGCATAAACATCATACATACTGCCAGCAGCGCTTGCAATGGAAGGAGGCACGAATACTTTCTAGGAAACTTTCTTTTTCTTTTTGTATATATATAAATAAAAAACAGCAAGCCGAAATAGACCGGTGACCAGCCTTGCTGACCAAGCAACTAAAGGTAATAACAATAATAATAATTCCACACCAATATACTTGATGGAAGAAAATAATTATACATACACAGCCAGCGTTCTGCACTCTGCAGCCACACAACAGCCCAAGCCCACACCCGAAACCGGTGCGTCGGTCCTCCTCCGCGCGCACCGGCTAAATATCAACCAACATAGTAGTATATCACTAAGAACAAGCGGCGTCTTCTGTATTAAGCGATACAGGACCTACTTTTCCTTCATCCGGCAATGCCAAATCATCCGTAAAAACGGCCGCAGAAAGCTCGGGGAATACTTCAATGGAGGGGAGTCGGATACAAGCTCAATCATAGGAAAAGTGCAGAGACACGGAGTAAGACACGGCCCAAGGCTTAGAAGCACTTGCGGTGGACGATGGAGGGGCCAGATTCGTCGTACTCTCCCTTGGATATCCACATCTGCAAAAGGGAAAGGGATCAGGGCTACTTTCTTCAAAAGCTGGAAACTCAAGTAATACTTTGCTTTGTAGGAAAAGATTAATTTGCTTTCTGGTTGGTTTATGTAACAAGATGTTATTAAAAAGGAATAAGAAAAAGACATGTATCTTTTCCCCCAAAATAATAAGATGGTAAACACCATAACGACGAAACAAAATGGTCGCGTAAGCAAGTACCTGCTGGAATGTGCTGAGGGAGGCGAGGATGGAGCCACCGATCCAGACACTATACTTCCTCTCGGGAGGCGCCACGACCTTGATCTTCATGCTGCTCGGCGCGAGGGCGGTGATCTCCTTGCTCATCCTGTCGGCGATGCCGGGGAACATGGTCGTCCCTCCACTGAGCACAATGTTGCCGTAGAGGTCCTTCCTGATATCCACGTCGCACTTCATGATGGAGTTGTAGGTGGTCTCGTGGATCCCAGGAGCCTCCATGCCGATCAGCGACGGCTGGAACAGCACCTCCGGGCACCTGAACCTCTCGGCGCCGATCGTGATGACCTGCCCGTCAGGCAGTTCGTAGCTCTTCTCGACGGACGAGCTGCTCTTGGCGGTCTCCAGCTCCTGCTCGTAGTCAAGGGCGACGTAGGCGAGCTTCTCCTTTATATCTCTTACGATTTCCCGCTCAGCAGTTGTGGTGAAGGAATAGCCCCTCTCCGTGAGGATCTTCATCAGGGAGTCGGTCAGATCACGGCCCGCAAGATCCAGCCGGAGAATAGCATGAGGAAGTGCATATCCCTCATAAATCGGCACAGTATGGCTCACACCATCACCAGAATCAAGCACAATACCTGCACATCGCACGTTCAGGTCATACAATGACTGACGAAGGGATACAATTAAGTATACATAAACCCATCTTGAGTAGGGAAAAACAGACACGTACCTGTAGTACGACCACTGGCATATAGAGAAAGAACAGCTTGAATAGCCACATACATCGCTGGGGCATTGAATGTCTCGAACATGATTTGGGTCATCTTCTCTCTGTTTGCCTTTGGGTTCAGAGGAGCTTCTGTCAGCAAAACTGGATGTTCTTCAGGGGCAACACGCAGCTCATTGTAGAAGGTGTGATGCCAGATTTTCTCCATGTCATCCCAGTTGCTCACAATGCCATGCTCAATAGGGTATTTCAAGGTCAGGATACCCCTTTTTGACTGCGCTTCATCACCCACATAGGCATCTTTTTGGCCCATTCCAACCATGACACCTGTGTGCCGAGGGCGGCCAACTATACTAGGGAAAACTGCTCTTGGGGCATCATCACCAGCAAAACCAGCCTACAGGAATGAGGTGTTTATTTTCCAAACAACAAATTTTCTGTGCTTAAAATTTGAATGAAACAAAGGGGTGAGCATCGAACCTTGACCATTCCAGTGCCATTGTCACACACAAGTGGCTGGATGTCCTCGCCGTCAGCCATTGGTCTGCACAAGACAATTGAAAACCTTCCCAATCATTTACTTGTTACATCAGATGTTCACTGCTAGGTATCTTGCTAATAAGAATTACGTCGATGAGCACAAAAACACAGAACTAACTGAATCATTTTAAGAAGCTGTCAATTTATCTCTACCTGACGTGCTCATCAACCTTATTCATCAAATATGTAACTAAAGCAATATTTCTGGTAATAAACTAATAACACAGTAAGGAGAAACTACAGCTGTATTTAGCAAAGTGTAGCTCTTGCTTTAAGGCTCTAAGCATAGCAAGTATTTTCATCACTAATGAGGCTAGTGGATAAAAGTAGGCTGGCAAAACTAATCAAAATTGTGAATAAGAAAGCACAGACCACTTCAATCACATTAATGGACCATTTATGCTTAATAGAAATAATAAAGAGAGCAATAAGCTGTCATAAGCTGTCCTTGCAGGCAGGCATGCTCTACCCATGTGCAACTATGCCTACCAAAGTTGAAAAAAACTATAGCTGTACTGGATCACAATTATTGCTGTTGCTGGACATCCAGCCTAGTACTAGTTATAAATCAACATTTTTAGTCATCCAGCCTAGAACTAGCTATAAATCAACATTTTTAGTCATCAAACACGATTTACGGAGCTGCAAGGTCCATGTGCCAGCAGCAGTGGTGGAATTCAAACTGGTTTTTGCACTATTAAGAACCACGCACTGAGGTACGGTGCCGAGCTATTCAATTAACGCCATTATGATATGATGTGATTAAGAAATATCAGACAGATATACTGATTAGGCTAAAAATTGGTGTGTTCCGTAATACATGAACCATTTTAAGACCGCAAGATGAGAGTATACACAATCAAGCATCATACATATAGTAGCAATCTTAAAAGTTGTACTAGAATGATGACGTGCACATCTAGAATTTAGACCGTACATTTCATAATGATGTCCCTGGGATACCACGGCATCTGAAATCAGCTCCCCAAGTTATTTGGTTTATGAAGTATTCAGGCAGGGTGAGATTTATTTTAGATTTGGACAGATCCAAGCCCAGCCATCTCATCTTACACAGAAGACAGTTGATGCCAAACCCATTTAAATGATTGAACTCTACACTTGGTTTCCCCTTGGATCAAGAAAGTAGCAAGTCGCCTCCCCGATTTAGACAATACTACTCCGGTGGCCTGGCAGATCCCATCGGGCCAAAGCAAAAGCTAGAACACTTGGACACTCTGTGCTTGCACCACGCCGCATCAAGCTTAACACCCAACGCAACAGCCGCTGGCTGGCTGGACCAGCAGCAACCGAAGGAGGAGCAGCCATTTCGCAGTGACTAACCAAATCAGAATCACCAGCCGCCGACGGGGCCGGAGGACCGTCGGATCGGTAGAACCCACCCGCGCGCACGGGCAGATCCACGCCGCCAGATAAACGGCACAGCAGGCTCTGCGGCCAGATCCGCGCCGCGCACGGAGCAGCTAGCAAAGGGGTTCGGGGACGCGTGGCAGGGAGGGAGGGAGGGATCGAACCTTGGGGAGCGGGGCGGCGGCGGGGACCGGAGGAGGAAGCGGAGAGGAGCTCGCTGGCGGAGACGGAGGCGTGGAAAGTGGTGGCGTCCTGCGCTGCGTGCGTTGGCGTTGGGTTTGGGTGCGTCGTGTTAAATACAGGGGAGGGGGAGGATCTGTGCTGTGCTGTGCTGTGCTGTGGTGTGGTTTGGTGTTCGCCGTTACGGAATTTCGAATTGAGGGGAAGATCTGGAGGACACGAGGGGCTATAATGGTGGGATCTCCAACGGATCTGCCCGCTGCCCCGGACCGCGCACAAGATCTGCACCTGCCAACGCACGTTCTCTCTTCCCCCCCATCTCATCTACCTGTCCTAAATCACAGCTTTCTCTCTATGTGGGCAACTCATCAAAACGCTCCTAAATGTGCCAACCAATCTATGGTGATTAGGAGGATAGTGGTATCCTCAAATTCTAGACTTGACATTGGTGCTCGTAGTATTCCTGGATTTATTTTAGGTTTTCGGTGGTGTTCGTTCGGTGGGAGGAGACGTTCCCACCGACTGCGAGGCGCATGTGGTGACTTCGTAAAATCTCAAGATGCTATGCCGGCTCAGTCTCTCGAAGGTGCTCATAGGAATAAGGTACGCGTGCGCGCATTCATAGGGATGAGCGTATGCTTGTACATGTGAGCGGCTTTTGATTGTACCATGTTAAAAAAAGTTCATAAATGTCAAAAAAGCGCGGACCTGGGTACTTTTTGTCATCCAACACCATTTCGCCGTCCAGTGTCGCGACAGGGCTGATCGAGATGGTCGCCATCGCGCTGGAGCCGAAGGACCTGTTGATGGCACGCAACACCTGCTGCCACGAACAGAAAATAGGAAGGACACTTTGGCAGTGGACGGTCACTCGGTACCTCCTCCGCCAAAAGCGTGTGCCCCGGCGGGTGTCGTTTGTTCAATCGTCGATGTAGTTGTATCTGCTATACTACTACGCCGCCCAACAGCTTGGTTTGCAGCAGGAGTCCGCGCCCACCATCATTGCCAGCCATCAAGTGCCGTTCAGTCTTGACCTCAACGGGGACTACACCTTCATGGAGCCTCAGTCACAGTCAACGGGTGCTAGTCTATTTGCGGATGCCGGCTATGCCTCCCTCGCCCTTAGGTGCACGGTCTTTGTTTGCCGGAATGTCTCAACCGGGCGCCATGACGGATGAGAAGGAGGCAATGATGAACACGATCCACGATAGTGGCGGACACAAAGATGGGAAGGTGGAGGACTCCCAGCCAGAGCCGGACACCTAGCACACACACACCCAAATATTGCACACCCAGTTGTTGGACATCGACCAGTCGGATGGTGTCCGGGCGACTTTTGGGTGCCGGGTGCAGACCCAAAGAAGAAGACGGGAGAAAATAACATGAAGAAGGATTAATTGTTGGTTGATGTGCGGTTGGTCACTAGCATTGATCTTATTCATTGCACAGAGCAAATTATCCGAACCTTTTGGGCAATTGTGCATGTTTGTTTCCATGAGCGAAAACGGGTGGTGGCCAAGATGGCAGAGAGGTTTGAGGACATCATGTCGAACGAGGAGGCATGCGTCAAGCGCAATGACGTGAAGGAGGAAAAGACGATGGAGAGGTTTGACGAGTTCATGGCGGCGCAAGGTAAGAAGATCAAATTTCAAAAGAAGAAAGTTGATGCCGAGATGTTGACGATGAAGATGTTAGACTTGGATACCGATGCGGTGAAGATTGTGCAAGCGTATCGTGCTAGCAGGTTAGCACTACGTAGCCGCTTCGGAGGAATTGGCCAACGATTGAATACTTTGGCACGGAAAACCAGACTGGAAGGCAAATAAAGTCTTTTGCACAACAGGGCTGTCATCTTTTGGCATTGGTTGGATGTAAAAACTTGTTGAACATCCGGTGCTTTTTGGTTGTGATTGTATATGTTTGTACTGTTTGTGCATATGCTAAATTGCTATTGATCTACATATGCATATCAAATGGAGGAGGCTAGGCCCGAGGTGAACATTTAGTGCACCGGGTGGGATGTCCAGCTTCCCTACCGCTATCCATTGACACGTCCGGGCGTGTCCCGCGGACGTTCCGTGTTGGAGTTGTTCTAACATCATAAACCATTTTTCTATCACAAAATATAACAAGCGAACCTTTGTTGTGCAACTCTCTCGTGTGACGCATTGTACTCATAAATCATTTTTCTGTCGTAATATATAATTAATGAGTGAACATTTGCTCTGCAATTCTCTTGCGCGATGACACGTTGTACTAGTTAGGATGTTATGAGTGTTGTCGACTTCAACCTCAAGTACCAATGGACTATGAGGCCAAACCGCCGCAGAGTGGAGGAAAGAGGCCTCGTATCGGAGTGGCTAGGGTAGAGCTGTTGGCAACATAGCAATGGCGAAAGAGAGATCTCACCGGAGTTTTGGGAGATGTTCGACGCCCTTGGATATGACTAAGAAGAGGTGGCAACAATGTGCGGGATGATGATGAGGATGCGGTGATGCGGATAAGGTCAAGGTCGGATCGAGGAGGGTGACTTGAGGTCGCCTATGACATGGCTAATAGATAGAAGAAATTGATAGGTTCACC